ATCTCTTGAATATTTGATGGATATAATTTACCAACAAACATGCCTATGAGAACTTGCCTATCGGCAAGTTCACATAGCTATTTTCAATTGAACTGATTTTAATCAATTTTCATAACCGAATGAATATCATCTCAACTGATAAATAAATATCACTGGAGTTTTTTCGCAACACCAAACCGTTACTTTAAAACCTCGACACGTGTTTCGATCACCAAGTGATCATCTTCAAGAGAAAGATCTTCCTCTTGAAGCTTTAGCAAAGTTCGTATATATAATGTCTACTTGAGCACGACTATCTAAGTTTTCAGCTATAAATTGGGTTAGATTGTTAAGATTACTAACTGTGGATCTTTTTTTTGTGAAGCCATGTAGGAACTGTCTCGAAATTATCCCCTTTGCAAATGGATACAACTGTTAGGAAATGTTCATAACATATGTTTCAACATATGCTGTGAATTTCAAGCTGGTATTAATTTTGTGACGGGGCTTACCTACACCACTGGTAATTTGGTGATTCCTCTTTATTTTTATAGATTATTGACATTTTATTCATTGTTCAACCTATTTACTAATTCGTTTCCATTTTGAGTGACAATATTTATTTATTTCCTTCAAATTAGCATTCTTATATAATTACATATCATATTTGTTCTAATTTTTTTGTATTCGTTTCAACTGTCTCATCTAAATAGAGTAAGATCCCAGAGCGATCAGACATAATTTATTTTCACACAGATGAAACCTTAGAGTCTCGGTAGCGTCTCGTGTGTTTTGAATACCTGCGTGTTTATGAAACTTGCTGAGTGACACCTGGGCAGGTACCAGGTGAGAAAGGTAACTAAAAATAAGAAGCTACTCAACTTAAATTTGTATAACTGATTTTTATACATATTTTGTAGAATATTATTTTGAAATACTGTAATAAGTGTCAGACACTTGTCATGGACCAGAACTTTTGTCAGACGCTTTAAAGCTCCACTAAAATTAAATGAACTTTACTTACTTTNTAAAGTTCATTTAATTTTAGTGGAGCTTTAAAGCGTCTGACAAAAGTTCTGGTCCATGACAAGTGTCTGACACTTATTACAGTATTTCAAAATAATATTCTACAAAATATGTATAAAAATCAGTTATACAAATTTAAGTTGAGTAGCTCTTATTTTTAGTTACCTTTCTCACCTGGTACCTGCCCAGGTGTCACTCAGCAAGTTTCATAAACACGCAGGTATTCAAAACACACGAGACGCTACTGAGACTCTAAGGTTTCATTTGTGTGAAAATAAGTTATGTCTGATCGCTCTGGGATCTTAGACTAAAATATTTCTCTTGAATTTTAAATCTGTTAACACTTTTTTAGACAATTGAAGTCTGTACCCCTAACATTCACATCATTATGTCTACAAGAAACAATTATAATATACTGTGGCCTACAGCAATGAATTAAATGAGAATGTTGTGTGTTGAAAATGGAAAATCTTTCCATGGATCTCATCTGGAGTTGTCCAATAGGAATTATAGGAAGATGTGTTGACGTGCTTACGGGATAGGTCAGAGAAATTCAAATCTTAATGAGCTATGACATTGAAAAGCTGACATGAATTGTTGACTATTGATTTTTTAAACTTATTTTTAATTATCATTAGAATCAATGAAGTGATTCATTTTCATTCAGGATAGTTTTTCTCATATTTTATCAAATATCAGCTAAGCTTCAGTTAGAAGACACGCAATCTAATAAAGTAACAAGTTCAATAAATAGAAACCAATTATTCATGAACGGCGTGTGACTTACTTTTCTAATTATCTTTTTCATCAGAAGTGAATGAGTATCATAAACTGAAACTTTACACCCTATCATCATATCCATATTGATAAATAACTTACTTTTCAATTCTGGTGCCATTATCTATGAGCCACAAATCACACATTGATCTCGATATCAAACTAGCTGCAATCAACAGAAATAGTCCACATTCCCCACTGGTCCATCCCGGAACAGCAATTTTGAATAACTGTCCTAATTCGACCAGAAACTTTCTATCCAAATGGGCTTTTGTTTGTGTTGTTCCTTTTTCAGAAATCAAATATTTCACTTCCTCTTCCAAATTTTTTTTAGTTTTCTTTCTAAATAACAATATGAAAAAAAATTATAATCTTCAGTTTACTGTCAGGAAGAGAAAGTTTGTGATTGCTCATTCCACTTAGGAGATAATTACTGACCTCTCTAACTTCGAATTTTTCTGGTATTTTCTTGAAATGATGAACCAAAGAACAGTTAATGCCCCTGCTCCAGCAAGGGCATTATTCTTGTTGAAAACTTTACTGTAGTTTGGAGCCATTACTTTGGCATCTTTTCCCAAATAGAAATTATTTAAAAGGCAGTTACACCGTGACGAGGCAAGTACGAGCACTACATGTATGAAAGTACCAATACATGTATATTATCACATTATAGCGTGTAGACTAAACTGACATGACCATGACAAGCTAGGTTTGCTTCACGATTTCTTGAGACTTTGCCCCTACTACTTCGCAATTCGCTCATTTTGTTTCACGTGATCGTATTTCTCAAATGTGCGTAAACTATAAATTAGATATTATTATATCACAATTCGACTTCTGAATTGTTTGTTTATATTGGTTGGTTATATTTGGTCCATAAACGGAGTTCGCATAATTGAAATTAGATAAAACCAAGGTCTCGCAGAGTAAGGATTTCAACCTAATAGGAAGACAATGACTTACACCATATATAACTCGTGAGGATCAGTATAGTGTTAGTATGAGAAAGAAATTATTCTGTGTGGTGAACTGAGAGTTATTTGGTGTGTTTGAACATGCATTCAATCAGTAAACCTAAAAACAAGGTTCTTAGAGGACAGGGGGATGATTTGGTAATTTGGCAGATGCATTATTAATTTTCATTTCCAAAGAGAAACGAGTTCCTACGCTTGTGGAATATCAGGGTAGCAGGGAGTATTTGCGAAAAGAACTTCATAAACTTGGATTTCGATGGAGAAAAGTAAAAAATAACAGGAAAATATTAATGGAATGCCAGCATATTCGACTACTTATTCGTCAACTTATGATATAATTCTTGAAGGAAATGCGGACCCATAAAGCAGAATGTCGACGTATTATTTATACGGATGGAACATATATTCACGTTACACACATGCACCTGTTACTTGGTTCTTCACATTTTGACTACAATCGAGGATCGCCTGCCCGGTACTGATGATGCCCAACAGGCTGAAACAGCTGCCTACCGGTTGCTCTTAAATACAAATCAGATTGTGGATAATCGGAATAGTACTCATCTATTCATCTTTTCATTTTTAAGAAATTCCAGCATCTTAACTGCACTAACTTCTCTGGATTTTATATTATTTCTAGAAACAAGTGGAATCGTTTTCTGTTGGCATTCCAGGATAGCTTCATGAATTTCTGCTAATGCAGCTGGCGTTTTAAAAGATTAGTCATACCACCAACACCAACATAAAAAAAATTCAAGATAATTCAGGTGTCAAACCAATAGGTAGTTTCACTTATGTCTCGCTTGCGTTTACATAGTGATTTTTATCAAGTATTCTTTTTGGTTTTTCACAGTTTGCCTTTAATGACGACCGCCTGTCCGGTACTGATGATGACCAATTGTGAATGACACCAATGAAGAGGTATACTAACCCTGGTAATTTTAGCTTTTGTTTTGTCGAATCCCTAGACGCGAGAAACGAGATTGACACATATTTGTTGTACACATGTTGACAGATGGAATAACAATCGTTTTGAAAAGTAAACATTGGTGTACGCTTAGCGCCCTTGTGATTATAATGCCGAAGTACGTTGGATCTTTATATTTTATGAAGAATGAAGAGTGCCGTAGATGGAATGTTTTCATCAAAATATTTCAGATAGGGAGTTTGGGTTTGGGTCCAAGTGTTTACAGTTTACACCATGGTATTTCTATGCATTTTCTGTGCGTCCATTATTGACATGCATCATATGTATGAAAACGCACAAGCACTTAAGGAAAAATCTGTAGGTCATATTCATAAGAAAAAATGGTGAAGTTTAATTTGAATTGAGTTGAAACACAAAGCTATTTGAAGCTGAATTTTGCAGTGTACTTCTGATTGGGTCTCCCTTTCTATATAGTTTGAAATAGTGTTACTCACAAGTTTTTCAGAAGCTGATCTTGCTATTGTTGCACGTGATTGCGCCAAGATATATTGGTATCCATTATTAGAGAATAAATTAAACAACGCAGCTAACAGAATTGTGTGCTCTGTGATTTAATGTTCGGTTCTGTCACATCCACCATCTTAAAGAAACCTAATGCCTGGTTTCTCGTGGCATTGAATTCTACTTGATTCCTGTTACCCCAAACCGATTTTTTTCCAGAATTTCATTAGGATATAAAGCGGACAATGAGAGATTTTTATAGGAATGTAGGCTTTCATGGCTGGCGTCAATGTTTTAGCTGGTTTCCGGGTTCGGAAACGTGCGAAAGCATATATTCTTTGGTTCAACGAGCACTTCAATAAAAGGAAAGTATTTTCAGTTGTATTTCGGATAATCAAAAAAACAGTTGTTAAATTTGATAATTGTACCACTTAAAGTATCGACGCAGGCTTAACAATAACTAATAAAAAAATCTGCATTCTGTTATAGTGACATAATTAGATGTGAAGTATACATCTTTGAACACTAGACTGATAGAAGTGGTGTTGAAAATGTGTTGTCAGTAAGAATTGAAACGAATTTCTTCATTCTTATCTTATCAATGATCTTTCCCACGTCTAATAGCAAAAGGAGTACATAGTTACAAAGAAGGGATGACATCGTGAATCCAGTATGAATCTGTCTCCATGACGCTCTTGATTTATGAAAGACTAATCCTCTCTAAGGTTGACAGTTAATTTTTCTCAAGGTACATTTTCCTCAATCTAGTGAGGACCTGATCGGCGTTCAATCTTCGACTACCTTCGTCATGAAGGTGAGCCGAGTGATGCTCTGCTGCTCCTCTCAGGTGATCTGTAGCCATCCGAACCGGAATATGCAGATCTGAAATCATACCTGTGGACCATCTTCCAGAATATCTTTTACGGCAGTCATAATGGCATACTGAAGTGATTTCAGCTTATTTATCGATAAATGAGATTTTATCAGATGTTCAAGGTGCAAGATTCTCATCTTAATGACCGCAACAACATTCCCATATGACATGAGAACACCTGTACTTCAGCTATACCTGACGATACATTAGATTCAGCCATGTAGGCCCTTTTCGCTTCTGGAGATTGTTTACCCTACTGGCCCAGATTCATAAGATATCCTGCCCTTGAGGAGGCGATAAGTCGCTTCCTGATTGCACCACTTAGTCCCCTAACTTTGTTCAAACGTTGCTTAACTCTTGTTATTGATTATATGTCACAAAAACAGCTGGGGTCATTTAGTCAACATGCATCTCCTCTGTAGACTCATAAGTTCATTTTTTGGTTACTTCATGGTTCATAAAGGGTTCCTAAAGTAGCTATGGAAAGAAGATCCTTCATGGCAGAGCCTCGCATTAACGTGACAAGGCTTTATACGACGAGGGGCACACGATACATCAAAGGTTCCGTCACTGACTCTGAGATGAGGCGCCATTTAGGAGGATTCTACTTTCCACGAGTAACACTCATCTGGCAGGGGTATATTACAACGACCCCCTCCCGCTGCAGGATATGAAGTCAATAAAACTGTGTGACTTAAAATTATAATCAAGGTCGTTTTGGCCGAGAAAGCTAAGAGAATTCAACAAGAGTGTCTTCCTATTGAGCTGATAGAGAAAAATATCATCTTCTTGGTCTAAATGGTAAAATTGGAACGTACGGCATAGAATAAATACAAAACGAGTTCTGTTCCAAAACACCAGAACGGCAACACTGGTTCTCGACGCGCGTTTCACCAATTAAGTTGGTGTGGATGCATTGAAATAAATGTTGTAGTTCTGGTATTTGATTAGTAGGGCTTGTTTTGGATCATTCTGGTCAATCAAAATTTCTGGACTGTTTTCTCAGGACTGCCCAGCGAAGCATTCAATACAGACAAGTGATTTTCACAGATTGATTCATTATTCATAGTAATGGAATATTTTAACCCATTTAAAACCACTACCAATATTTTCAGAAAAATCTCCAATTTTTTGACATATACATATTTATTCATATATACTAAAACATCTCTGGGGTTTGAACAAAAAAAAAAAATAAACTAAACAATATTTTTTTGAGTTTCGTAAACGCAACATTGGTAACAAATGCATAAAAAATTTGAAAATATTATTCATGATATTTCTTGAAACAGTTCGAATATAGTGGAATCCTACATTTATTGCACATGAAAACCGTTGTGCTTTTACATAACCTGCATCGTCTTCTCCAGTTCTCTGAATTTTTTTCTATTATATGACCAACATTATCGAGTCTGACAGAAGATGGTAGAGATGATGTGGAACCACGTCCTCGGATAGATTGTGCCCTACGTTTGTTGGTACTCATGAGGCTTCGTGCAAGTTCGGACCTGAAATCCAGCTGCGAAATAAGCTNTTGAATAACCTTTACTTCTTTCCAGATTTCAGGAAATGTTTTGCTTATCAAGGATAGGTTAAAGATAGTTTTTAATGGATAAAAAAAAGTCAAGATATTTGAATATAAATGGTGGTATAAGGCCCAATCAACTTTTTATCTTTGAAACTCCTAGCTGCATCAATGATGTGATCATGATTTATAAAGTGCTTAGATATTATTGCCAAGCCACAGTATACTATATACAGTAATCCCACTTCGGGTGATTTTTGGTTTGATTTTTCTACACGCAGACCCAGGAGTTGCAGTCTCAGGTCTGCGCAAACGACGAGTTCAAGACAGGCACGCAACCCTTCCATTGTTGTCGAATTTCATGGGTTTCACCCAACCTACTGTGAAATGAAAATATATTTTGTCACATCTGAATATGAACATCTGCCGATCCATGAATTTTTAAAATCTACTTGAAACATAGTTCATCATTGTTCAAATGATCTGGGTTACTTGAATATTACACAAATGCAAAATTATCATTTGTACAATTTTCTCAGGTGCCCAACATGGTTTTCATCGACTGTGTTTTTTTGAGCCGTTTATATGAATAGTTGTTATGTTGAGCAGTGTTTAGACGCGTTGGTTGAGATCGTAGTAGGGAGAAATGTCATTAGTGTTAAATACGTCAGCATTGTAAAAACTGAAACTCCTGGACACCAACATCAAAGGGACCGACGCTAAGTGGGACTACTGTGGGCCAAGCTATGAAGTTTTAGAATAGGAGCTATTTGATAGGTGCGAGAGAGAAAGTAGAGCACCCGATGTCCGTGTCATAGAACGGAACACAACATTACAGCTGCACGCTACCGTTGAAAGCGAGCGCGCATTCTCGTGTACAGTCAAAAATCATTAGTGACAACACGCGCTAAATAATATTATTTGGGATGTCAAAAATGAGTAAAAAGTGTTTTTTTTTGTAATAAAAAAAATATTGACCTTGATGAGAATTCATTTAACACATGCTCTTGAAAATTGGCTTTCCGTAAAAAAA